TTCTCTTGAACCCACTTTGTGTATGTTGGGTCCTCCTTGGAAGGTTCTTTCACATCTCCCAAGAGGTAACCCAGTTTTCCCCTTCCTCCAATAGCCATYATGGCTGATTGAGCCCATTCCAAGTAATTTGACCCATCAAATCTCATAGTTGTAATCTGAAACCCGGTTTCAGATACACTACCATAACTGTTGTTCCCAAAATTACTTTCTCCCTGACCTTTAAACTCCATCTTTTGGTCAAGAATCAGTGGCTACAAACTGTTAGAGCCACTACACCAGAAAACAGAGTGAAATCAATGAAGGTCTGAAATCTGATCTGAGACCAACACAAAACTGATCTGAAATAAATCGGCTATCACAGTATATGCAAGAAACCAACTCAAATCTAATCTGAAATCAATCGGCAACCACAGTACCAGGCAGTCTGTCAAGGTTTTATCCTCTAGAAGAGCAATCTGAGATGCTATTTTCTGAAACCACTGCTGTGGGGCCCACTGCTGCGAGAGCTGAATTAGGGTTTCAACTGTAGGTCTGAAATAAGTGCTCAGCTGCACTCTCCAAGCAGTCCGTACGAGTGGGACCTGTCGTAGGGTCAATATGAAACCCTAAAACTGATCACCTCTGAGAGAAGGGGGGTTCAGCCCAACAGTCAAACCCTAGAAACAAACTTAAAACAATTCGACCTCTCCTTCTAGATAGGTCCAACCTATCTCGACTGATTGCAGTCTCTGAAACTAAATAAAAAACTTACTTATGGATTTCGGTTTACTGCCTTCCAGGGTTACCTGAACCCTAACCTTCACTGCTTCTTCCTGATTACCAACTCTCTGCAAGCCGCGGCAAGTCCTCAACTGCTGCGAACCTCTCCTAGTAATCTCCAAGAATCAGCCGCCAAATACTTCTTCATAAGCTTCCAACCCTAGCTAGTCCTCATGTGGTCAGCTGGACTAGACACACAAGAGAAGCCCTAGATAGGCTCTGATACCAAGTAGAARATCAAGACTGTAATCAGTCTTGAATCCTAATAGGTTTTAGGTTTACAAAA